CTTAGCGCCACCTAGCGTTACCCCACCATGAACGTAGCGGCGGGAAAATATGAATCCTATTTTATTTTCTTTGTTTAATTGTCATGGAGGAATAGGCAATTTCACTCGCAAGAAATTTCAATTTTCTTACGAGTGAAATTGCCTATTCCTCCATGGAATTTTGGAGCAAAAAGAAAAATAAAACAAACTTGAAAGATTTATAAATTCTATTATAGCCATGACTATTACAAATTACAAAACTAGAGAACTGCATTAAGAATAATGGATATGTGCTTATTAAAACAAATTATATACGATATTTTTTTTCAGTACAAAAACAAGTATTTTTAATGATGTGACAACTGTTTGTAATGATATGATAACAGTTTTTTACTAAATGCATGTGTATGCATACACGATACATATTTCATTTTTTATGTTTTTTGGGTTTGTTCCCGTTCCTTTCCCTACAATGGCTGAACCGATTTTGACGGGTGTTCACTGGCAGAGGAGGAATAACTTAAGGAGTAACTTAAACTACTTTCCATGCGGACGATGTCGCGGGCGCAGCTAGTCAGTAATAAAAATAAACTGCAAATTAGAACTTGACGTTTTGAGTTTTCCAGACATAAAGAAATAATCGTTGTTTCTGTCACGTATATATTTTTTTAAACAGAAAAAAATGCTTTCGTGTTTCAAATCACAAAAACATTATAATTGATGAGCAAATAACAATAAATGTACTTAATTTAAAATAAGTGATTAATCAAAAATATTTATACTAAATAAATGTGGTACAACATCACTTACTTTTAATATAGAATTCAGAAACAACAAAGAAAACACAAGACCCCGAGTTAATATATAAAAGGCATCTACAAAATTCGAACCTGGTACCTCATATATGACTGGCCTATATATGACGATATGATGAAAACCAGTGATATTCATTCTATTTATGTAACATGATATTAATTTTTCTTTTGAGTGCGGATGCTGATGCTTCATCTGCAAACAGTCTATTTTTAACAATGCAAAATCGTTTTATGCATATGTGAAATACACAGTTTACGATTAAATATATATTTTCATCTCTGTGGATTGTGCAATGATGAAGAAATTCAAAATTTACTCTAGATTTCACATTTTCTATTATACGTTTTTTTAAATCTTTCTCATGTGCATTTTTATTTAAAAACAAATTGATATTTGTTGCACATGATTCTACACATTCAATTAAGTTCTGACTTGCATAGTTTAAACTATTTTTGTGCTCATTGTATTCTTTGTATTGGACAAACATATGAGTTAAATTAATATCTGGAGACATAAGAACTGACTTACAATCTTCACAGTTTGTATTTGGGATTCTTTTTAATAAAAATCCACAAACATATGAACAAGCCTGAAGTTCTGCGTTTTCTGTACTGGGAGAAGATAAGAAGCTTTCTACAGACAGTTCTTGTATCTCCAAATTGTCTTGTTTTTGATTGGATTGTGAAACTGACAAAAACATACTAAAGTTATTTATAATGACATTGTTGTCAATTTCACAATTACCAGATGTTCCTATGTGAGCCATATTGCTTATAATAGAAGTTTTTAGGCCAGCCACAAACTGGCCTATAGTTGGATTGGAATTGGAACCACAATTACTACGAATGCAACCAAACAAATTCTCAAGCGCATCTTGTTGTAAACGCCTTGTTGGTAAACTTTTAATGTCAGTTCTGGATAATTTTCTAAATAAATATTCTACTCCATTGATGGTCCAAATCCATCCATCTTGAGAGGGCGGGACACGTGGACTTCCCACAAACTTCATGTTTTCAAAAAAGCGCTTCATCTCAGAAAACAGTTGAAAATGTGGACTTCTCGCCGTCATATTTGTAGCGTGTCTTTTTCCACGTCGCAGGTCGGGTGAAGGTGATGGTAATTGAAAAAGTCTTCTTAAAAGTCGGTAGCATGTAGGCGATCTTTTAAATAGTCGCAAGGCTACAATTTTTTCTTCTTTAGTCCACCTACATCCAGTGGACTTATTGCAATTCCTTATTTGAGCTTGCAATAAAAAAGCAAATGTGGGTGTAAGTTTTTTTGCCAATTTCTGTACAATGGTACTCTCCATCAGATTTAATAAAGCTTTCTTTTTCATTTTCTTATATTTATTTCGAATTTGGCAAATTGCTCTCATGTACTTGGTACATTTTTTAAGTAGGTTCTTTTCTCTGTCAGGTTTTAATTTTAGCTGCCCACTTTGCACTTCTTCTAAGTTAGATGCCGCCAGATTTACATTTGCTAGACTTCTTTTTAGTTTTAATATGCTAGGTTCAGGGTCCTTTACAATTGGACCAATTTCTTTATTTAATTGCGAGGGTCCAGGTTGTGGCTCATCACAATAAGATGGAATTGTTTTTGGCACTTGCACTGGTGGATCAGTCTGTAATGCAAGAACAGAGATTATAATAATATATTAAATTAACAGAGGCATGCTCTATTGCTTTTCACAAGTGGAAAAAATTGCAAAACTGAATGCAATATGAAAGTGGCAAGCATGTAGGAAGAGTAATGAAAATCAAGAAGGCAAAGAATAATATGTAAAACATGCTTTGTAGCACTCGGTCTTCTCTATCTATGGGGGATCCCATCCAGGATAGATAGTGTGAAAATATAGAAAAAAAAAATATTGACACTGACATAGAAGACCAGACCGAAAATATAAGAATCAAACAATAAAGTACAATAATTTTTGGTACTCACTAAAAACACTTTTAGTTTAAGAAACCATAACTAGGGAAAATTTATCTATCCAACAGTTTGTCTGATTAAGTCAACTAATACTATGTAGTTATGGGGAGGTTTTGGGGTTCAGAATAAACAAGCAAGCTTCTAATATATATCATAAGCATTAAGTTGTAGTAACTATTTAAAATCAGATCGTATGCTTGCTTGTCAAGATGAGAAATTCAAAGCTGACACTTGCATATTCAATTGATTGCAATAAATATGACTTACATCATGGGGGATTGCAGTGAATAATAATCTTGCCTTTGAACTGTCAGTAAAATCATCATTAGTAAAATGATCTTGACATAACATTCGGTGTTCACTGAACAGTTGTTTCTGAAATTCTAATGAACAGTATTGTTCTTCAGATGGGAAAAGATATTTCGCCCACATTGTACATCTGTAATGTAAATCAACTAAATTAGCTACATATTTGATATAACATATTAAAAATGATAGTTTCTCAAATAAAAATGCTTTAGATTTCGGTCTCAATAAATAGAATGTGTAATTAGCTCGTATAAAAGTATTAGATATGAGCAGATTAGACGGAAAGGGGCATTTCACAGATACAAATACATCGTAAAATAAACTAGGGATGTTAAAAAATAATCGATTATTATTTTAATATAATCGATTTTTTATAATCGATTTTCCATTTCATATTAATCGATTTTTAACAAATCGATTAAATAAATTGCGCGGTTAAATCGATTTTCATAAATAGCATCATCTATGCGCCAAATGAAAAAACTCGAAGCATTATTACTTAAAAGTTGATTATATAAAAACGGCGCCATCTGTAGGTATGTAGGTATATATGATCGACATTAGAATAACATCGATGTTGACATCGATATCATCATCGTAAGTCCAACATCGATGATTGATATTTATCGAAAACTAAACATTTACATTCATGACGATTTTTTTTTTATTATTATATTTAATTTTTTGCGACAATAAGGTTGTCATTTTGTTGGGGTGCTCATTTTTATTATTATATAACGTTTAAAGATACTGAGAATTTCTATCAATAATGATATTTGGTTTTATTATTCCTTACCTTGAAAGTTTAAAAGAACGTTTGCTTTGTATTTTTGTTTTGAATTGTCAATTTTTTTATTCATATTATTTTTTTTTAATCTGATTAATTGTTAATATGAATCTTTTAGGTTTATTATTGGAATATGCAAAGCATGTAGGATTTTAAATAATAGAAAAAAAAAATCGATTTTTTCGCTAAAATCGATTATTTATTTTCATAAAATCGATTATTGACAAATCGATTTATAATTTATAAAAGAAAATCGATTTTTATTAAATCGATTATTTTCTATTAATCTCACATCCCTAAAATAAACCTTGACAAATTCAATTTATGATTATAAATGATATAAAGTTTTACTAACTAGTTTGAAAAGACCTTCATTAGAACCCATTAAGGGAATCGGTTACTGAAATTAAAGTTAAAAGCTGCACGTACCGTAAAAGATTTCTAGTGGCCGGTTTTGGAAAACGGAAAAGTTTGATATTGTCCGATGCCGGCGATTTGCCGCATTTGAAGCACTTTCGTCTGGTTTCTTTATCAGACATTTTAAAAACACAATAGAGTCACTGTCTCGTATGTCACTGATCACTTTTTAAACAAGAATTGGCACAATACAAACTATAAAGAGTAGTAAATTCGTAAACCGAAAGCGAACCCAAACAAAACAAATTCGGCCATTTTCTGATATTTTATCATGACGTTAAACGTCATGATATGCGATGTTGCCAATGCAATCAAGAATACTTCTGCTAGACATTTCTTTTATTAGAAAATAAATTGTTTTTCTATAATTTTACTGAAACTACTAATCAAAAGTATTTGTAAAATATTAAAAAATAGCAGGTATATGGCACCATCTTTCTTTATTTCGGAATAAACCTAATATAATTTAGATAATTCTTTTAAAAAAAACTACTATTTTAACTAAGACGTAACAACGAATACACCACTGGGTTACCATCATTGAAAATTGTATATATTTTTAACACTTGCAATAGAAAAAGTTTTCCCCTGTAGGCAATTCCTTTCTGACCTAGAGAGTTGACACCCCCTGTCTATGTGTCTATCATATCACTATGACAGCCGTGGTACAACCCAAAGATTTCTTTCTAATCCTGAGCTTCAATAAAATTATTATAAACTCAATTATAATTACATTTAATATCAGCATTTCTATGTTTTCTTTGGTCAGTCACATAGTACTATAAAATATAGGGAAAACAGCGTCAGGGTACAGCTAACAGAATGGTTTGTGATGGTCCAGATCCTCCTGAAAACAACTCAGATGATCTTATCCCACCCCCAAGACACGAATTTTTAATAAATGGTGACGATAGTGATGAGGAGCGGCACGAGGGTTTCGGTTATCAACCTTTGCCTCAAGGACCTGATGCCACGCAATCTGATCATGATAGCAGCGATGATGAAATAGACGTACGTATTAGTGTAAATTTCTCCCTATTCGATTGGATTCGATTCCACCCTTAAGGAAATCCTGAGCCCCAGGAGTGGGAAATCAAAAGTATAATAATTAATTAAATAATCAATAGTGATGATGATAATAATGTTAAATGATAATCTAATTATAAACATAACAAGAGTCATTGCCTTTTTAGAATTGTATGATATGACTTTTTTAGAATATCAATACAACAGCTGCAGTAAATGATGTGCCGCCAATAGAAACAATGGATGCGCTTTTAACAAGAGAAGTTTGGAATGCTCCTCGTAGTTCACAATCCATAGAAATGGATAATGAACGTGCAGAACAGGTTTTTAAATTTCATCTTTAAATTCTCTTTAGTATTAGTTTTCTATTTGTTATTTCAACAGCAGATAATAATATTTAATTGTTTTATATAGGAAGGTGTCTTTGAATACTATTTACTGGGTTATTCTATCATGCTATTCTTCTTTTTTAGGTAATGTCTGCAATGGCCAATTTTGCATTACCACAAACTTCCATACCAGAATGGGCTCAAAGCATTACTGATGAACAGTGGAAACAAACTCTTAAGGACAGATTAGAGAAATTAAAAGATAATAGGTAGTATCATGCCTTTTGGGCATATTGATTTTAAGAGAAACTTCAGTAGATAAATTTTTCTATAAGATAATATAGAAAAATACTTTTTCTAGATTAGAATGTATTTTCATTTTAATTGAAGAATTTAAAATATACTTTCAATAGCAATTCAACTATTTACTCTCTTAAACAACACTGGTTACTAAAGTAACTAGGATTTGTATTAAAATTATTTGACACTCAAAAGGCTAAATGGATTGCTTGAACATTGATGGCAATACACTTAAGTTCTTGGTTTCTGTTTCTCTTTGATCTTTTGGTTTTCCCATCTTGTTCACCTGTGATTAGAAAATATCTCAGACTTTTTTGTGATATAAATATTAATACAAGAATTGGAAATGTTAAATTTGTAAAATATAATAATTAGAATCTTCTATAGCTGATATAATGGTATAATGGGTAATATAATGGTAAACATTATCCCGCATTCATTTTCTGGATATATATTTACATCAAGTAGTTACTAAAGTAACTAGGATTTGTATTAAAATTATTTGACACTCAAAAGGCTAAATGGATTGCTTGAACATTGATGGCAATACACTTAAGTTCTTGGTTTCTGTTTCTCTTTGATCTTTTGGTTTTCCCATCTTGTTCACCTGTGATTAGAAAATATCTCAAACTTTTTTGTGATATAAATATTAATACAAGAATTGGAAATGTTAAATTTGTAAAATATAATAATTAGAATCTTCTATAGCTGATATAATGGTATAATGGGTAATATAATGGTAAACATTATCCCGCATTCATTTTCTCGATATATATTTACATCAACTAACAGCAAGTTAGTTTTATGTTAGGCAATCTGAAACAATGAAGGTACCTCAACAATCAAACGAGAAACAGTATAGAAAGGCTCAAATGGCCCTACTGGGAATTCGAACATTGGGTCTGAGAATTGACAACAATTTGAAAATGTGTGCAAACCTCTCTGCTATAGGTTGTTAAATTTTTAAACCTTATGCTCTTACAATTAGTTTAACAATGAAAGACTAAATGTATAAATATATCCCATTCATAAGATTTTAAAATATAACCTTTTTAAAATAATCACTTCTTGTCTATTATTTAATGACTGTATGCTGGTTGTTTTGAGGAACCTCTTATTATTTGCAGCCAGACCAATACAGAAAAGGATCTTTACTATTTTGTCTCTGGTTTATGTGTAGTGGTACCTTCGTTATTTCATATTTCTATATTACAAGGGCCTAGCAATAAATGTGATGTGTAATATTTAATATTCCCATGTTAGAGGTAGGTAAATAGGATAAGAAATAATGAAACCAAAAAGTATAAAAAAAACATTGTATTTGATCATGAAAACTTGATAACAATGGTAAAAATAAATTTGATTTGTAATAAAACTTAACTATTATTTTATTCTTAGTTTTCCACTGAAATTGAATGAAATTCAATGGCATGGAGCAGAATTAATGTTGGTATACAAATTCTGTGAAATATCTATTCGATTTTAAACCTTAAAATGCTTCAAGGTAGAGTTTAAAATCAACTGGGGAACTGATATTTTGACATTTTGGTAACCTGACATGCGGCTGTGTACATCAAGTCCACGTAGACTTGAACAACTTGATTGTCCTTTGTTGAAATTAGTTTTAAAATGCATATTTTTAACAGATTTGACAGAGAGGAGGTTTATGTTTGACTGTATGTTCACTGTCATCATGGTCATTTTAAAACGCGCCCTTTTAACGTCATTCTTATGTGTTCATATCCATGAAATTGTTTTTTTTTTTTGTGTATGCAGTAGATATTTTGTCTATGAATTTGTCTAATATTAAATGTTCAAACGGCAGTGCGTCTAGTTAATATAAAAGACCACTGCCATCAACTTTGAGTTTAACTTAAAACACAATAAAGCTTAGAATAGATTGGAACTAAGGATTTCAGTCACTTGATCTTTTATAATAACTTGATGTGTTGTTGGCTGTATGCACAGATCTGCACAGCGTCCGTCTGACTCTCATAGGATAGGAAATTCGTTTCATTTTACTACTTTGACATGTTTCATTTTACACTTTAATAACGAAAAATTAATGATAAAGAATGATGAATGTGGATTTGACAGCAGTGTTTCCAACTTAACATTCCAACACATTATTTATCACAAATTTGTCCATCAAAAGTCAAACATGAATAGACATGTCAATGTAGTAAAATGAAACAAAATATCGTCATAATATCGCTAAGATATATTCTATGACTAAATAGTTAGACGGCCATGCCCAAGGCCGGCTCGTCCACATATGCAAACAAGGCAGGTGCCTAGGGCGCTTGTATTTGGGGGGCGGCATGGCATAGCAAAAAAATTATGTTTTCTCTTACTATTAAAAAATTACTAGTTCTTTGAACATGAAAACCATGTCCGCGGTATTCAAAAGTAAAACAAATTCACACCAGCAGTACCTAAGAAGTTTCTTGGTCATTTGCAAAATAATATTGTGTACATTAGTCTTATATTTTGTTGTTATTTTTTTTATGGGCATAGTTCCAGTATTTTGCTTAGGGCGCCAGGTTTCATTGAGCCGGCACCAGTCGTAACCCATGTAGTAGGTACTATTCCGTAGGATCATATACGACAGCACTGAAGGTTACAAGTTTCGTGTTCTCGTTTCTGATAAACATATAGAATGGAGAGTCTGCGTAGAATGTTTCGGCGGATCGCGCCATTAATGCGCTGGTTGCCGCCACTGCTTCGGTACCAAATTCTGCAAAGGAGATTATCATTAGACAGAAGATGGTGAATTGCACGAAAAAAGTTGCAATATTATTATTCTAAAAGTGTTTCTTATAGTCCTCGAATACAAAGTGACTCGCATACCTGTTTATCAATTTACCCTATAGGAAAATAGGTATATATAAATTCTATTTTGGGGGAAGACTGAGGGCCATGAAAGAAATTCAAATAGGAACTATATTGAAAATTTATCACAAAGAGTAATTTGATAGTATTTAAAGCACCGAAATTTGCCCATTTGTTCCTAAAGAACTTCCTTTCAAACCGGTTTGTCATTAAAACTGGTATTCCTTTGTGTTTGAAATACTTAAAACGTTAGGTTCACTTCAGCTAATAAAATAATATTTCAGCTGAATAGCTCATTTTTAAATGTAAATTATCATATAACACGCGATGGCAACATTGTTGTATTGTTAGTCTGTTCGTCGGTTCTGTACAAATGTTTTACTAAGTATGTGCGACTTGTTAAATTTATAAAAACCGGTTTCCGTCGTCTCAATCCTGGTATTTTGGAGTTTCGGTATCACAGTCGGATCGGAACCCCCATCTTCAGTATTTTTTTTAAAGACGTATTTTTTTACCATCTTAATACTGGATTATTTATTTCTTAGTTTAGCTTCCCTTCTGGCTTTCCTCTCTGCAGCTTTATTCTCACCATAAACATGATAATAATGTAGATCACGCGAACTTAGAACCGACCGCTCCGTTTGTGTAAAAAACAGTATTATTTTTTATTACTCTTTTGTTATCTTTTCCAGCAAGTACACGCTTATGATTAAACGATTTATCTAAGTTCATCATGAACACAACTATTTAAAATATACTACACTACTATAAGTATCTACATTTGGCATATCACACTAATGTTATAAAAGGGAAATATTTGATTTTTGTTTGTTATCAATAACAGTATACTGAAAATAATAAATTATTTTACCAACATGCATACATTACGATTTGGTACATTTTCGAAAAAAAAATATTGAAAATTTGAGAGGAAAATACAAGCTTTGCGATACGAAGTTCGCCGTGTCACCTAGTTAACAAAAAAATGTTGATAAACCTTTGTGTACTTGGAAATTACGTGTCATCAGTATCGATAACTATCTTGCCTTTTAATTGCTCTAACTAGGTAACGAACGCTTTTTGTTTGCCTATTTTTCATTAGACATGACCTCTATGTTCTGTGGACATGACATAACAATAAAGCGCCTATGTTCGCGTCAGGCCGTCGCAAAAACCTCGTGTGCTATTAATCAACGATGTTTTGTGCACATTAGCATTCAACCACATCTTATTTTTGCAGCAACTTAATTAAAGTACGCTACAGTGGTAATAAAACATTTTTTTTCCAAATATTATAGAATACTACGGAAATACCGGGTTAGTGAAGGTAATTATCATCTTTCAACATGCCTACATATAATGATTTTGTGTTGTAACAAATACCAATGGTACCCAAATACTCACCATCAACAGACATTTTCACTTCGTGCATTACGGAATCCACGTGCACACCAGGATTCATAAGGCGGTCCACCATTTGTTTCAAAGTTCTTGATTCGCCATCGCCCGCACTTATTCTAGTTATAAGATTGTCCTCGGTATCCTTAGCTGCTTCATCAGATTCCAACATTACAGCAAAATTTGCTACACCAGGAGTGAACATAGATTGGGCGCCAAGAGCTTTTAACGCTTCTTTTAAATCTAATTTACTCTCCAATTCCATCTTTGGGAATCTTATGACACACTTTTTCCTCGACATTTGGTTTATTAGATTGTCGATTTTTTCGAAATCTAAACGATTCAGCAGTTCTGTTATCGTAGTGGTTTTAGGAAATCTTGGTTTAATTACATACATGCTTGTAACACTATCGTTATACGGCAACTGAATCATATGAAGTCCTAGAAAAAGAGAAATAGAAAATTAAATATATGTAAATTTTTTCTTGTCTGCAATAAATAAGTAGGCATTTTGTTATAGTTAACTAATTTGTTTCTCTTTTACAAATTAACTGACCGTTTTCAATGGAAAACACGTAATTGAATTGTCCGAAATTTGCCATCAAGTCAACTAGGACTTCCTTTGTCGGTGTCTGGAAAGGCAATCTGTAACAAATTGTCGTTTTAAAGGCATTCTACTGAAACTACTCGTATGCTTGCAAATAACAAAGTTCTAATATTTTAAGTTATTATTTCCTTCAATGTATTGAAATCGCTAACACTGTACTTACTGCTTTGTATATTCAGGAATAAAAGGATGCGACCATTGTCCGCTATAATAGAGAGCACTCAATAAAACAGCTTTTGTGGAAATGGGGAGAGGTTGCTGGAGAAAATTTTCTATTCTATTCTGTGTGTGATTCTTGACCCATCTGAAAATGCATGTGATCAGTAAGTCATATAAAGATTTTCAAAATTTATGACTGAGATCTGAAGTAAATTTTGAAAAGTTTGATGAAACGATATTAAAAAAAAACCTTTGATATGTCCATTGCAAAAACAAAGGTACAGAACGGCAGTCACAAGTTCTTGTCACATCACCGCACGTTGGTGAACACAATAGAACAATACAAAAAAGTTTTCAGGTCTTAACTGTTCGGAATATTTCACCGAGTAGATACAATAAAACAAACTCATATGCAAATGGAATCTAACGGTATACTATTGAAAACATGAGTCACGTCATGTATACTCACTCGTTAATCACCGTTTTAGCCTCGTCAGTGTCCCCGAAATCTGTGACGAAAGCTTCTCCTTTGTAAACCCGCTCTAGATAGGTTTGGTACACCTGACGAAGTGTGGTGTTACGGTTCACGAATAGACCATTCGCATACAAAGTCATCGTCTCCTTACTGTTCAGGGATTGGAGTCGTGTTCCGAAATCTTCGTGATACATGCGATTTTTAAGAATATCTACAAAGGTAATTAGATTTTTTAAACCATTTACTATGTTATCTAGGTTTTCAATCTACTGTATGTAGGTAATTTTCCTTTTTCTTTCCTTCCAGAGGAAAACCCTTTGGGTTTATTGTATAGCTTTTTGCGTAGATTATCACTCACTCCTCCATGCGGTATATTTCTGAGCTTAAAACTAAGTGAACCGTTTAATCCACACTATACCATAATCCCTTCCAAGCAAGAATTCCCAACCATTTCATAATCAGATATCACTTTGATTTCTTATGTTAGCATGGCCCATAATGTAGGTAAGTACGTAAGTAAGTAACTATAATAGTAAAATTACTGAATTAATTCGAAAATAAACTTTAATCCATGATTGCTAAGTTAGATCCAAAAATTGTGCGAAAAATATTTTGCACTCAATTTTTGCGGACTTCTAGCATAGTTGCTCTGAGCCAGGAGTTCCGAAATTTTGGGCAAGAGCCCATTTTTCTATAACGAACTGATACTTAATTCAATCTAGTTGCTTGCAAATTTTAAAAACTGCGGGTGATTAAGTGGTAATTTGATATCGTTTCCTGATGATGAGCCGCGTATTTACTAGGCTACTATTTACTATGCAAATTTAAATTATGAACTTGGATGGAAGATGACTTAATTGTCTACAAAACGAGACCAGCAAGCACTGTTTTTCCTGTTTCCTTTTTTTACAAGCTTAGAATGTTTAACAACTCCGCTTATTGACTGTAGCCTATCGGTTATTGTACTAACCTTCAGAAAACCCGATTAGCTGTGCGATCTCGTTGTACGTCTCGCCGGTGCTTCCCAAAAGCGTCATTGCGAGTAAGCCTGTCAATATAACAGTAGAGTGAAAAAACATACAAAATATGTTTACCTTTGTAAACTATAGACCTAGTTAAAAAAAATCTTAAAAGGTTGGTTTTTCCAAACGAAACGCCATCGTTTTCATGTATTATTTTAACGTTATTAATTCAATTAATATTGATTAGGTACAGCCAACAGCACGTCAGGGTATAGAAAACTGTCTTTCTCAGCTTGATTTTAAATCTAAACACATTTAGGTTAGAGTTAAAATCAATTGCGGAAATTTGACATTTGTGGTAGGCTGACGTGTAGCCTTTATCTCTATGTGGGCTTCTAAACATTTATTTATTCTTTATTGCATTTTAAACACAAATGGCGGACTCGATGCCAAAGGCATTCTCTGCCAGTCTTCCAGAAAAAGATGCTGGAGTCTGGATGTTAGGCGATAATAATAAAAAAATCAAAAACAAACAAAAACATGTGTACGAAATTTTTTTAAGTACCTACTGATTTTGTACTAAATGTGCACACATTTAGTTTGAGAGCATCTATTATACCATAGACTAGTGATATAATAGTTAAGGTCAAAGTTATTTCATATAAAAAAAAAAAAATTATGGTCTATTTGAGATAAGCATTTATTTTTTAATACGATTTTCCGCACGTGCCACTTTTTTATGACCTATAAATCTTGCATAACTTTTTTACAAGCTTTTATTAAAGTTATCGTGTTAGTGTAGATCAAATCTAGCAAGTTAATTTGGCCATTTCTCAGTGTACGATTTAGCTGAAAGGTATACCTATACATATAAAGTGGACAATGCAATATTAATATGGAATGAAGCAGATGTTGGTTAATTAGTGCATGGACAAACCTCCGGTTTTTGTTGCACTAACACCTGGTTTCTGAATTGAGAATTTAAAGTTAAGCACGTATCAAACCGTCCTTAAATCATTTAAACATCACTTATACGGGTTTTCATTTCTGTTTTTTTTAATGATTAGTTGATAGCAGTTTGATAAAACTGGAACTCTTTACCATGTGGATCGTGAAAAGATTCTGTACTTTTCTCAATTCAAAAACCGCCCGTAAGTAATACATTTAATGTATTATTAATTATCTAGTTGACTGGTAGAAAATGCCTCAGGGCATTAAGTGCACCATTTGTACATTTTTATTTGTGCAATAAATGTTGAATAAAAAAACGAACCAATAGCATCGTATTTGGGCTCGTTTGATTTGTCTTGAAAAGGACATATAAAGCGAAAAGATTCTGGAATGGAGACCGTGTGCCGGACGACATTCAGGAGGTAGGCTTCCCACCAGGTGGATCGACAAGCTTATAAAATATGCAAGAAGCCGCTGGACGCGGGCAGCGCAGGACTGATCGTCGTGGAAATAAATGGGGGAAGCCTATGCCTTAAACAATATGTTTTTAAACATCAGCCGATTTTTTTTATATAACTTAATGGATAATTTTTTGAATTATAACCAAAATATCCATTGAAAATATCTCATTATGCCTGGCATTGAGTTGGACAAGAATAGACCTTGGAGATAAATGATGGCGAATAGCGCAGCAAAAACGATTATTCATTAAAAATCGTTTTTGCTAGTTATAGTTTATAACAATTATTGTAAAAGTGCTGCATAGTTCCTTCGGCTATAAAGTGAATCAAATATTTGATATTTCAAGAAACGGTGAAAGGGTGAAATTCGTAATAATATTAAATATTTCACGTTATTTTTTTTTTACAAATCCAATTGAAAGTTAGTGATTTTGGGTGTATACTTTTGACGATTGGTGCAAACATGTTTGTTTAAATACGTGTTTCCACTTTTCGTTTTCTGTTAATGCCATAGCGTATTGTCTAAAACTTTTATCGTGTTGTTCTTGATAAATCCATGTAGAAAGAAATTGGTAATTCAAAATTCTTTGGTTAAATGTATTTACACCGTGTAATAGTACGTGAAGTTAGTAGAATTGTTGTTGACGTAAAGTAGCCATTAAAATGTAGGAAGACGACAGTGGCGTAAGACCGTTGAGACCCGTGGCAAATTCATCGGATATTTTTTTTTTTTAATATATGTTTAATAATAAATGTCCGGCGTAAGGAGTCTCCTCTTGCCACCCTGTAGTTACGCCACTGGAAGACGATCAAAATTAACAATAAGTGGCCTTCGCTATCAATCCCCTGTAATGCTATTCTGTTAAAATAGAGCGTCGAACGCAGCGCTGCCCCAGCATTGGAGAGTAGATGAAAATAAAATCCTTATTGCTTTTTGAATTATGTAGGTATTTATTTAGAAAGGTAAGATAAAAAAACTAAAAAATAGAACCGACTTCAAACTTTAAACAGGTGATATTTAAAAAATTTTGAAGACGGTTCTATTTTTTTAGATTTTATTTCATACTTTTTGGGATATTGATATTTTTATGTAATATGTAACACTAAAAATATTAAATACTAGTTTAACGCCTGCGGCTTCGCCCGCGTGGTCCCTAGGGAACTGTTTATTGGGATATCAATTCATATCATGACATGTATATAATTACAATAACAAATTGAATAGTAAACAATCGTAACTATAGTAACGTTTTCGCCCCCTATACTGCCACTCCCATTTTGCTGTTTTTCGTGACAAAATATAGCCTATGTCAAAGAATTAGGTGAAAGAATTTTTAAAATCGGTCCACTAGTTTCGAAGCCTATTCGTTGCAAACAAACAATCAAACCTTTCCTCTTTATAGTATTAGTATAGATATAGATCTATCGAAATAAAAATATTCATCATAGTGAAAATCTTAGAAAAGAAGATTTTAATATATGTATGTGCTCGACACAATTTTTTTCCAAAAATTCTATTGTCATGTTATAAAGATCTTGTGTAAGGCACCTTAGTTTAAAAATAATACTGAAGTCCACGAATATCTGCAGATACCATCCATCAAGGATGATATTAAAAAATGTTGCGTGACTTATAAGTATTAAACGACTTGAAGTTCATAAAAACCAATTAGCTACGGCACTCCTTAACAGCAACGATAATGTAACACGCTTAAAAAGAATGCCCATAGCCATGTTCAAAAGGACCAGTGGCATATCAGTTTGTGAAAGAGGAAAGGAGCATCACTGGAATGGAAGTGCCAAACTCCAATAACAATAATAGATATCAGCGCATCTGATTGAAGCTTAAAGGCTGATTAAAGGAGAAAAAAATATTATAAAGAAGAGAGATTTGATGCATGTATATTTGCATTCGATAAGCTCCATAACTATTGAGACCGATTTATAAAAGTCTTTAATCTATGGAAAGCTATATAATCGGGCAACAATTGGCGGAAATATCAGTGAACATATAAAAAAAAAATACATCGCCGTCGAACATATAACCTCCTTTTGGATTTTGAAATCGGTTAAAAAGGTATATGAAACGAAACATCGCTAAGATGTCGTAACTTATGGCATGACTTGAGTCATGGTTAGAGAGTGAAGCGGTCGCACCCTTGCCAGTGCCAGTGGAATGATTGAAAGAATATTTTATTAGTGATACGGATTACGGACCTGTCGGTATGGTGTTGGTATTGATACGCCACTGACCCTATATATGAATGAAGCTTAAAACAGAGACAAGCGATGTTTACCTACACCATGTCTATACTAAGCTTAGAGTTTACTTAACATTTACGAATGATACTGTTGCGGATCTTCCTGGATCTTGAACAGATTTACACGTAGCTAGCCGATGCTTGGACTGTATAATTGAAACTTCCTTCGATGGTTTTCACTTCTTCTTTATTCTTAAATCTTGAGGGCCGGAGAGCTTACAAATTTCGCTCAAATCGACCCGTCTTACATTTGTTGGGGTGGCTCGCACTTAGCTCCGTATATTATCAGTTGGTTAGCCTATTACACATCTAACCCCTACTTTGCGAAGCCATCCCCCACCCTTAACATCTATGTATCACATTATTGTTAATTACTACGTTTTACTGTTTCTACATTTACATCATAAATCACGTTAAAACATCATCATATTATTGTTACATAACTCGTATCGTGTCGGGCAAGACCGCGCCGTCGAAGCTCATAATCATTCTAAGGCGCGCCGCGCTCTTGCCCGATGTATTTATGTGGTCAGAGCGAGACGGAAGATCCCGCGTAAACCAGCGCCGTCTCGCTCCGATACATTTTTATTGTCAACATGAAGGTAGTCGAACATTTTACATTTTAAACACCCCTGTATCGAGGCAATACCGTATAGAAACCCACATAAACTCCCTTGACTCGGGCAATACCATATAGAAAACCCACATAAGCCTCCTTGAGTGAAGCAATACCATACAGAGAGCTACCTAAGCCTCCTTAGCGAGGCAATACCTTATAGAAAACCATATCAAATAAAATCCAACCCCTCACAATAATTTAATTTGCTATAACTTAAATTATCTTAATACTAGGGGAATAAATACACCCATAGGTTGTATCATTTAATTCTAAGCTTTAACCACATTCATTTAACTAAACTTACTTATTATATATAATTTACTTAAGATCATCTAATATATACAACTCGACGAGACGTGCGTCCGTAACAGAGCTCCCCCCGGCGCAGCATCCGCGTAGCCCCATCACTCCATCGTCAGGACCGCCAGTCTCGTCGCCGGTCGCCGGAACGTGCCGCCCTTCGTCTTCACCTCCACATTGCGTATCTCGTTGTCTGGTCCAGGATATACTTTGGTGACGACGCCCCTTGGCCATACGTTGCGGGGTAGTGTATGATCCACAACTATAACCAAGTCACCCTCTTGTATCGCACGACGTCCCGCGTCGCGGGAACCTCCACGTGGTATGAGCATGGGAAGGTACTCTCGTAGCCATCGACGCCAATATTCATCGGCCAGCGCTTGTGCTGCCCTCCAGGTTCGCTTGTCGGCGCGCTCGCACGGCCCGGTAAAGGGCAGGCCGTTCGAACTACCCAATAAAAAGTGATTGGGTGTGAGTGCTTCTGGATCTTCAAT